TTTGGCGTCATCACATCAGTCATCATCCGCGCACATCCTCGGATGAATGTGGTGACGGCAAAGTGGACACTCGATGCTTCCAATAATAGCATCGACCAGTTTTGGAAGGGCGTGAGAAAGTTCTACGACGAGTTCCTCAACTGGACTGACGCCGGGCTGTATTCCTTCTACATCATGTGGCCGACACCGCAGCTCAGCATGAACTATATGTTTGCCCCGAACCACACTTTGGACTCCTACAACGAGGTTGTAAGGCCTTTCTTCGAATACCTCGAGGCGAACAACATCACTTTATCAGTATCGCATCAATCCACGGCACATACGTCTTTCTACTCGGCTTACCAGGCAACGTGGGGTGCAAATCAATTTCCCGTTGGCGTTGACACGTCGCTTCCTGCGAACCGACTGGTGCCCCGCCGAAACTTTGTCGAGAAATATGAGGAGACCTATGCTCTCATCAAATCCCACGTCTCATCCGGCAAGCACTTTCTGGGTTATCACAACGCCCCTGGTAACGCGGGCCCAAGTGTCGGAAACCAGAACAATGCCGTCAACCCCGCCTTCCGCGAGATGGTCTTTTTCCTGGTGACCTCTTCAAACCGTACCGCTGATCACTCGACTCCCGCCGCTCTGGCTACTCAAAATATGTATCTCCAGGAACAGGTTCTCCGACCATGGCGCGAAATTGCCCCGGTCTCCGAAGGGGGCGGCACATATCTCAACGAAGCCAGTGTCGAGGAGTCTGACTGGCAGGAGAGTTTCTATGGAGGGAATTACCCAAGACTTAGTCAGATCAAGAGAAGGTGGGATCCTAATGATGTCTTCTATGCCGTCACCGCGGTGGGGAGCGAGAGGTGGACTGTGTTGGACGGGGACCAGGGTGTGCAAACGCAGAACGGAAGATTGTGCCGTGTCTCTTCCCCAGAGGACAGGCTGTAACGATCATGCTTTCATTTCAGGCGCTGAGATGATACTCAATCTCCAGAATTGGTGCTATTCGCGGAGGACCAACGCTCCCGCCACGTCAGTCTCTAGTAATTGTACTTAAAATGAATGTTCTCCCGATCGGTCATATCAACTTCAGCATTTAGCTTGCCGAGTCGCTCACTTTCTTCCTCAGAGATGCCTTGTTCACGAATGAGCTTCGCGCGTCTTCGGTTCTCCCAGATATCTGAGCTCGTGTATTAGCATTCATCTTAAATCGCAACTTGTAGTAGGTTTTGACTTACAGTAGAACCGCCACGCCCCCATGCTGCAGAACTCAACGCAATAGAGAACAGCACAAGCAGTAAGACCGCGAATATACTTTGGTGCGTCTGAGGCCACGAACATCTGAGCTCCCACCGCGTTTCCAACACAATAAGCGACGAACAGAACTGTTGATGTGACGGTCTTCTTCGTTCTGCCGGCGACGTTGGAGGGCAGGAAGGTCCAGATCACTAAAATAACATCAGATACGGTGTCAAACTGAATCATACGATACTACTCACTTAGACCAGGCAATGATCCAAACACTTGCAAGATGTACATGCCCCATCTAGTCCACTTCATGGAGTCTGTTGGGAGCAGAGCCAAAGCCATCATGCCGCTGAAGGCAGGAACGAGGGAGAACATCATCATCAGGACTTCGGGCTGTTAGCAGCAATCAGGAATCAAAACTATAGGGACTTACATCGGAGGTTAGGCTTCTTCAGGGTGACGTATCCGACAACCAAGAACCAGCAGATGCTAACACAGTAGTATGGAGTAGAACCCTTTAGGAGTGTCTCCAAGTTTGAAAATCCGAACGACTTCCAGATCAATTTCGAAAATGTGGTGTTCGCTCCGTTCGGTAGTGCGTTGATAATGGTCACGAAAAAGAAGAAGTAGGTTTGCGGATCTGTCAATGTTGTCTCGTCAGCCTGAAGATGTCCCTTAATGCAATTGTCTCCAACGAAGACGTGACGTACCCTTGAAAGTGCTCCAAACTTGCTCCCACTTGAACTCAGAGCGCTTGTTCTTATCGGACCCGGTTTGATTGGCAACCACGCGAGCAATTGCCGCCTTCTTCTCTTTTTCGTTGAGCCATCGCACTTCACGAAGCGTACCGAGAATGAACCACACAAGGATTCCGCACGCAATGGTCAAGCTGCCGAGGAAGAAGGAGATTCCTTTCCACTGCAAGATAGATGTCAGTCCATGCCATTAAGTCTTTTCAAGAGATAGGCTTACTGCTGCAAGACCATTGGGGTCTTTCTGTGCATGCAATCCGATACCGTACATGCACAGACCGGTGATGATGTTCATCCCAGCATTGGATGTTCCCCAGATCAAAGACCGCAGTGTGTGCTCTTGCGAGGTATACCAAGCTCCCGTGATCAGCATGAAAGTTGGTGAAATTGTGCATTCCAAAGCGCCTTGGAGGGTGCGAAGAATCATGAGGTGTGCGAAGTTCTTTGCAAACGCAATGCAGAGAACCACGACGCCCCATAGTATCATCACAACGGAAAGAAACTTTCCAGTATGACTCTTCTGAATCAGCCAGTTACCGGGAAACTCGCACACCAAGTAAGACAGATAAAAGATGGTGCTCAGCCAGTTGAACTGCTCGCCAACCAATCCGGTGTCTTCGCGAAGGCCGAATACCGCCTGCACGCTGAGAGATGTCTTGTCGGCCTGTTGGGTGCCATAGCAAACCCACATCAACGGGAGGAGGAACAAGTCGATCTTGAAACGCAACTTCCGGAAGTAGGAGTCGGAGTATTCGGTCGCATCTTCGATGGTGCCTTCGATAACATCATTGGGCTTGTCGTTGACGTCCAACTCGTCGGTCTTCTTGATATCGGGCTCGGAAGTCATCCTGGCGTCAACAAGGCGAAATGGGGAAAATACGACGATGCCCTCAATAGAATTGTCGCCAGAGGCGGAAGGTGACCTGTTATTTGTAATTCGACTATGTAAACTACCGAGGATACCCCACTGAGACACTGCTTCCTTATATTCAACGACAATCTGAGTTGCGGTCACCGCATCTCTCTCCATCCTTATCAGCGCGCACCTGTAGGGGACCAAGTATCAGTTACACGACGCGTTGTCGATTCGGCCGGATCTCCCCCGATCAGGCCGGTAAGGTGGCGATGTCGGAGATAGCCCGGTTTGCCATGGATAAGCAGAAGCGTGCGATAATGATTGGCGTACTTGGCATTGATCTGACATGGGAACTTATCGTCGCACCCTGGACATGCTGTGATCGATTAGCCAATTGTTTCCAACTACAGTCGCCAGCGGCCCGGGACCCGGCCGAAGCTACCCCTCATGCCAACAGCTTACGCCAAATACTCAGTGTCAAGAAGATCAACGGAAGACGGAAATGCGTAGTCACATTCAATTGTTACCAAGAAACATTTGCTCTCAATTTGCAAGCACCTTTGATCATCCAATTGAATCACATTCAGAACCATGGCAAACCAAATCAAGTCCCCTGTTGTTGATGCGACAGGCAAGACACGATTGCGGGAATCTCTAGAAAGGGCCAAAAGAGGTGAAGGCCCGAGCGTTGGTCAATGGCTTGAGTTCCCCGGCTACTCCCTGGCGAGGACAGTGGCGCCCTTGGGAGAGGATGTAAGTTATTGAGCAATCCCAAATCTCGATCTCTAGGTTGAAATGTTCGCAACAATTTGACACATTTTGACAGTGGATTCTTATCGATACGGAGCATGGAAATATCGACGACAGAGATATGTACCTTCAGGTCGGGGCCATCTCGACTTCAGGGGTGTCACCCATCGTGAGGATACCTGCGTCGGAGCACTGGATGATGAAGAGGGCACTGGATTGTGGTGCCCATGCAATCATGGTTCCGATGTGTGAGACAAAGGTGTGAACGAGCAATTTTAATTCTCCATTGAAGGCTAATGATTTCCTTAGGAACAAGCAGAAGCTGTTGTTCGGGCATGCAAGTATCGCTCAGCTCGATGGCCCCAGGGTCTTCGCGGAGCCGGGGCCATGTTCGCGCACTCCGCATTCAATCAAACCGGTCGAGATTATTTACTCAGCGCAAACGATAACGTCATGGTCTGCGTGCAAATAGAGAGCCAAAAGGCCGTGGATAATGTGGAGGAGATCGCTGCAGTAGATGGGGTTGACATGCTGTTCATCGGCCCCAACGATCTCGCGGCCTCGATGGGCCATGTGGCATTTGATCATGCTTCAATCCCCGAGGTCCAGGAAGCAATTGCTCGTGTTCTGAAAGCTGGGCTTGACGCCGGGAAGTACGTTGGGCACTTCGCGCTCAGTGCCGACGTTGCGGCGGCCAAGTATAAACAAGGGTTCCACTTCGTGAACTGCGGAGCGGACATCGTTGCCATCGCCACATGGATGTCTATTGAAATGGGAAAGCTGAAGAGCCTGGTGTCTAAGAAGGCTGACGAGGACAAGCCGAAGGAGGTGAATGGCACCAACGGAGATTTGGATACAACGGAAGACCCCAAAACGGCCACCGAGTACAATTAATTAGACCTGCCCTGAGTTTTATAGAGCACTTTTTCTCCAGTCGTCTTCACAAAGTGTCTGTAAAAAAACGCGTTGTTTTATCTGACTGATTGCTTAAAGTTTTGTCGAATTGATATTTGGACTCGTAGCCTACTCAGCCCGTGATAGCGACGGGTAAAATGGGAAACTGCAGGATGACTACGCCAAAGCCGTAACGTCACTCGTAGGCGAAGACTACCGTATTCAATGTGCTATGAACATCCACCAACCTCGATATATGGGACCCACTCAACAACAAATCGATAAGGAGAGGCCGGGCCGGGCTCCGAGCCGAGACTTGCCAAAGGCATCATGAAGCATTGTCGGCTTCATGATGAAGAAGTGGCAAAAGCTGGAGCAGAGGTCGATCTCAAAAGTATTGAGATAAAAACGGGTGTATGCTATATATACAAAAAGTCAATACAGCAATCACCTTGAGGTCTTCTTGAACCTTAGATACTGCAATGGCCGATGTTCTGAACAATCAAAACATGGCTGACATTTTACCATACTCAAATCGATCCGTTGTGTGGGCAGGCGTCAGAAAACTCGAAATTCGACAGCAACCCATCCGAGTACCGAACGACGACGAGGTTCTGGTCGAAGTTATCACCACTGGTATTTGCGGGTCGGATTGCCACAACTGGGACAGTGCCAATGTCTCCCGTGAACTGATCCTGGGCCACGAGTCGGCAGGTCTCATCAAGACCATCGGAAAGAATGTCACAGACAGATTTGTCGGCCAGCGCGTGGCAATCGAGCCCGGATTCTCATGCAGGGAGTATGGGATGTCCCTGACAAAAACCTTCGTTGTAGACACTGAGTCTAACTAAGCCTGCCTTTGGCCACAGGTGCGAGTTTTGCGGACGGGGAAAGCAGAATATCTGCTCTAGATTGAAGTACTGCGGGATGGATCCCACTGACGGGACTCTAAGTCAGTACTTCACCTGCCGGGCTTCTAACACGGTTGCCATTCCTGAAGATGTTTCTTGGGAGGAGGCAGGCTCGATCCAGCCGCTAGCGATTGCGGTTCAGGTTGCGAGAAGGGCATCGCTGAATCCGAGTCAAAGCCTGGCTATTTTGTAAGTGAAACTCAGGATTGTGTTCAGTCCCTCCAGAAACATTGTTGTAGCCTTGTCATTCTTGATGCTGACGGGTGACAGTGGATGCGGACCTCTTGGTCTCCTCATTCTAGCTGTGGCGAAGGCATATGGCGTCAAGAAGATCGTTATGTTCGACATTGAAGAGTCTCGAACGAGATTTGCCGAGTCCTATGGAGCTGATGTCGGAATTGTCACGCCAAGAAATAGCGACCCTTCTCAAGATGTCCTGTCCTTCTCTCAACATTACGCCAGGGAGGTCATCACCAAGTACGGCTTGGGATACGGCTTTGATGTTGCCATCGAGGCTAGTGGCGCTGAGATATGCTCTACGATGGCAATTTGCATGCTAAAAGCAGGCGGAACATGTGAGTTGCTCATGCCGACTCCCGTGAACACCCGTCATGCTGATCGAATATCAGGTATACAGGCGGGCCTGGGAAGGCCGATGGCATCGTTGCCCCTTTTCTTGATTACAGCCAATGAACTTGACGTAAAGGGTAGGCTTCTGCGAAACTCCTTACTTGAATCCTTGCTGACAAGTACTCTTCGCAGGAACCGTTCGGTATACTCATGGGTGCTTCGAGGATGCCATTAGTCTGTTATCTACGAAAAAGGTTGACCTCAAACCGCTGATCACGTCCACGTATCCCTTGACCCAGGCAAACGAGGCATTTGAGGCACAGCACGCCAGAAGGGACATTAAGATAGTTATTTTCAACCAGATGTAAAGAGACCACCTATCTTTCTGTACTAGAGCAACCACCGATTCGGTGTACTCGGTGCATAGCGTCGCCGTCATCGTCGCTCAAATGTACTTTGTTTTCTCTAACCAGAGACCTGAATCATCTACAATTGTTATATTCGTCGGTATTATCGTCTCGACAGAACCTCGATCACATTTGGTATTGATCGAAGTAAGGTTTGAAGTTTATCGAGTGAAAAGGGAATAACCGGGTAGGCATGAGAATATCAAGCGGTCTCAAAATCAATTAGATCGAGCGGTTCATCATGCTACTTAGCCAAGAGCGCCTGCATTAATCCCAAGACGAGAATAAGACTGGATCCAAAGGATCGAATGGAAAAAACTCAGACCCAGGTATTTCGCCCCACAGAAAGTTTTCACCCCCGGTTCGGGGAGTGTTCGTCCCCTCAAAGTCATCCAGCGTTCTTTTGTTGGTGTTCCTCTTAGATTGAACCGGTGAAATACTGGTCTGGCTTTGGCGAGTATTGCGTTCAAGAGCCAGCTTGCTTCGCTGGTGCTGTAGCAACTGCTCAATGATAACCCGGCTTCGCTTCGCGCCAGACCAGCGAACTTCGACATCCCTCAAGAACGAAACACATTTCTTCACATCATCCAGAACCTCGGGATTAGAGTGACTTGAAGGCATCCGTAGGCTGTTTTCATATGGCGCATCAGCGACCACACGTCAAGAGAATTCGAGCTCAGGTGGGGGACTGGACTTACAGCACGATGCCAGAGAGCGTCATATAATGAACTGAGAGAGCCAGATAATGTGAAGTAGGTACCAAATCTCGGACAATCTCGGCGGCGTGAATGCACATTTGTGCTGCACTCACACATTGAGATATGGCACCTGATACATCTACTTCCTCATCCAGAGCGGCTTGTTTAGGGTAGTTTAAGAAGCAGCTTGGCTCATCAGTATAGAGACCTTCGGATACGACCGGAACACACGTACCGGTATAGGTTCAGGAGAGAGCCCGCATGTAGGATGAAGATAATGACACACATTACCAAGGCAGGATCGCCTCCTGGACTCTTTTCCATCTTGTTGGCTGAGAACTGAATGTGCGGTGGCAGACTTGCGAGCCAATTTCGCAGAGCCTGATCGTACGTATCAACGCGGGAAAGAAATCTTTGTGTCTTGGCGGAGTCCGCAGATGCGAGTTTCCGAAGGTTCAGGGGCGAGTTAAGGTGCTGGATCTTGCCAGCCAGTCGGGAGAGACGGGCGAACGCGAGGAAACCGCTCATGATGCATGGTCCTTTGGATGGGATGTCAACCTTGGCCGGATGGTATGTTCTGGACTTCAGGTAGTAGGGTTCAAAGTCTTCATCCGTCATGTCCATAGGCAGCTCGCAATCACAGTCGTCGTCTTGGACAGCCATTGGACGGCCGAGACAGATAGACGTGATTCTGGAGGTTAAGGGTCAGCACAGGTCGAATATGCAGCAAGGTGTAGACAGGAGATGTACCTATCAAGGGTGTATACACACCACCATATGCGGCGGGACACTTGAAGTCGAAGGAACTCAGCGTGTCGACTTTCCGCGAGTTCTGGTGCCAGGGATAGTATCTTTCTATCGTCAGCGACTTGATAAGTAGAAAAAAAAGAAACATGAAAACGCACCGATCGACTACTTAAGTGCAACCCCATATCTTGGGCAGCTCTTACTGCCTGGCCGGCCAAGTTCCAACTTTGCGACAAAGTGTTCCATCCGGCGGAGCACATTGATAGTAGTGCTAAGCACTGGACTCTCTCAAGTGACGCTTCACCGGTGGAGGCGTAGAACATGAGAAGTGCTTTTTGATAGTATTCAATCCCTGGAAGCTCGCTCTCCGAGTTCGATGGGAGGAGGCTGGATGAACACGCACAAACAGCGAAGAAGACCATCAAGAAACGGCGATGTTTGGGGGAAGAACAATCACGGCCAGCTTTTAGCAACTTTTGGTAGCGTCGCATGAAGTGGGGCTTGAAGAGAACCGGAAATGTGTAGTGCAGTTTGTCAAAGTAGAGACTGATAAGAAGATCTGCAATGTACTGCAGAGGTCGAGGAAGGTCTTCTGGTTTTGGTATGAAGGGCAGCTCGGGCCACACTTTCCCACGGACGAAGAGTGGAAGTTCGAGGTCATCGGTGCTCAGCACACTTTGGCTCGCCCCAGTTGATGAAGGGGTTGTTGTCAAACCAGCAGGCAGCAGGCTCTTTGCAGCTTCTATGAGGATGTTGTGTGTGGCTCCACCGATGAACCTGATCTGAAAGTGAGATTTTGACTACGAGAATGCGGTTCGGTTACTTACCTGGGACGCCCATATGAATCACGAACCAAGGCACCGACCTGGCCGATTTCCTCGCTGTCGCGTCCTTCGACGGGACCATCTTGATGTTGATCATTATTTGTGTCGGAGTCGTCGCTGTCGGACGAGTCCAGTAAGTCGTCGTTGACATGAGATTGGCGGACACGTAGTGGGGCCATTACTCGGTTGCCATCCAGATTGCCAGTCTCATTGCCTTGCACATGAGAGGCGTTTCGAAGCCCCAGGACCGACTCTTGAACGTTGGGCAGAGAGTTGAGGACTTGAGCAGCCCTCAGTAGGTCCTCGCTTGGGGTTGCCAAAGAGCCGGCTCCTGGTGACTGATGCATGGCCTCCAGCGATCGCGACAACTGGCTTGTAAGAGTCTCTAGCCTCTGACACAGGGAGTCCATCTGCTGACACCGGGCCTCAAACGACGTGGTATAACTAGCAAGTGGGCAGTTAATACGGATGATGTCGCTGTTATGAAGTTCCAATGCAAGGTTCCATGCCTGATGTCACTTACTACCGGCTTGCTGACGCATTGTCTTTGGTTCCAGGAAACTCGCAAGTCTGGTCTCGGGAGCTGCAATTGTGACAAGGTTGTTTGCCATCACATTTGATCTAATATGCATGTCAGTATCCGAATATATGTTTCAACCTTTAATCTTGGATCATACCTTCTTTCGCCGGCACGCAAGGCACGCTTGCCACACCCGACTGCCGGCCGGCTCGGCAGCGAGTGGGGCATCTGGACCGGCTCCGTCTTCGGCGCTGAGAGCTGACATCACGGGGCTGACCTTGAGAGCGAGACGTTCTTGGTTTTTGTCGCATTAAAATGTCGATCTGACATGAGATTGATTATCTTGAGAACGATGAGATGCGAACGCGGAGTTCTTAGCCGTAAAGATGGGGAGGCCAGCAATCTGCCGAGGTCTTATCTCCGCTAATCTGTCATTGAATCCCTAGCCCCACTCCGCTTATCAGTTACAATTGGATATTACTGGGATTACTTGAGCCCAGGTTCTTAAAAGGAGAACACGATTCAAATTGAGCGGGTGGTGTTTTTGGTCGCGCCTCTTGTCGAGGAAGGATTTAATTGCATGCAAAACTGAGTTTATCTCAAGGAAATGGTTCAGTTCGATACGACGTCTCAGTCCCCAAAAGCCTCAAACCTAAGTTGTCACTCTCCACTTGATCCATTGTCACTAATCCCGTCTTGCCAACGTATCGGATACGTACTCCCTGAACCAAATGATCATTGAGCCCCCCTCTGCCATCCAACCCCAACTTGCCATTTGTAGCACCTGCGGCAGCAGCAGTCACTAAGGCAGTGCTGTTCGTCGGGTTGAACTCATCATCGATTGATGATCCCGTTCTTAACCCAGTCCAGGTGTACCACCATGCCACAACTAGGATGTACACGATCAGGGGAAGAACAATAAGCAAAGCAGTTGGTGTCGTCTGGTGATAGCCCATGCGAAAGACTTTGTACGTCCCGTTGACGGTACTACGACCATCGGCTTCGTTGGCCGCGTAGTAAATCCGAAGATTTGTTCCTTCGTACTCGATAATTCCCCGCATCGCAGCTTCGACTGCGCCAGCATAGGAAAAGTTGCCTGAACCGTCTCCACTCGTGTTCAGACTAAGCATCGAATCGATCAACCCGCTTCCCTGTTTTGTGAATGCATACGTCAGAAAAGCCATCTAAGCGTGCAAAATCTAGTCGACGATAAATAAAGACGTACCCAGCTAGTTGTTGATATCATGAAAAGAGAATTGATGGCGTCGGCAGTCTCGTTCGGAATACCTGAGCCGCCCATTCTCTCTATGACGCTCGACGTAAAGAGCCCCGTGTCCGTGGAGTAGCCCACAATATTTTTGGTGATCATCGGTTCAAAAGTGCAAGTCATGTTTGGAAGAGACAGCGGAGCGCGCGAGTATCTTCCCATCGGAGTCAGGTACAAAACATATTTTTTCACCGATGCGTCGGGTTAACAGAAACCCGGAGCTACGACACCGATCCCTGGTACTACGAAGGTGTGATTAGATCCGCAATTGCCTTGATTGACAATGAACCGTCGTAACTCCATCGTTCCGCCAGCATTGGAATTCGTCACTTCCATCGACTTCAAAAGTTGGGTCTGGATGGGTGTGTTTGAAGTCTCCTGGCAGGTCACGTCGGCCGAGAGACCCTGCTGTGTAAGGGAGTAGTTGAATTGTTGTGATTGGTTTGCCATGGACGGGCCCCAGGACATGAATTTGACATTGCTGAAGGCTGAGATTCCCTCAAATCCAAGTGGGAGAACACCACCTGTTGACCCCTTGAACAAACTTTCCACGACGCGGACAGAGGCATTGCGAACCCCGAAAGACTCCTGCGCAGCGGAAACCCCTGCAGAGATGACGGCAATTGGATCATCCGCGATGGGGCATGTTGGAAAGCGAATTGAGCCGGTCGACGAGTTGTACGTATACCTGGTGCAGCCGTAGACCTTCCTCTTTGGTATACCTTTGGAGTCAAAAGTGTTGTACCATTTCCAAAACTCAGATGCGGTAAAGTCAAGTTCCTCTCCTACAAGAGAATCGCTGACAAGAACTCTGGTTGGGGTTAGAAGGGTTGTAAAGGCGGTAGTAAGAAGCAACGCAATGACCCAGTTCACTGTGGTGAAACCAGATAACCAAGGACGTTTGATGTCCAAAAGAGGTTTCTGATTCGCGCACTTGTTCCATCCTAGAACCAGCATTGTTAGCAAGCCATACGTCAGCCGGGTGCAGGAAGAATCCCTGCCTTCAATAATAGACAAAGTTGATCCCACGCGGGCCTTCTGCCTAACCATCAGAAACAGAACACTGTTCAGAAGTAAAAGGATGATCGCCGCGACAACGGTCCCACACGCAGTCCAAATAATAGTGCTCTTCTTTGGGTTCGCCAATAACCATTGGCCAAAATGGAAAGAGTAGAGGAGAGGGGCATGGGCACTGAAGCCCCAGAAAGCAATTGCTGAAATGCTCAGAGCTATGAGGAGAGAGTTGTAGATCAGGTACCAGAGAGGGGCGTTGGTTGTGGGTCTTGGACGAGAAGCCTGAGTGACAAGCTCTGTCTCTGTTGTGACAGGATACAGGGAGCCAGCCATCATGTGAGGTGCACCTGATATCTGAATTGTGAGCCTGCTTGAAATTGGAAAACGGCCTTCGTTTCTATGCATACTTATACTGAAGCACCAAGGGAGCGCTAATCTGCGGCTGAATCGTTATGGCTGAAGCTGAGCATTAAATGAGCTGCTGAGGGCGACGCCCTTGCCCAGAAAGAGCCAAGTCTCGGACATTTCGATCACCTTATCATGGTACAGACCCTAGCTAGATCGCTTGGGATGCCACAACGGCACTAAGATCTCGGTCAAGAATGCAAACGCAGACACATGCAAGGTTTATCTACCATTGACGGCCAGACGTGACCTGAACTCAATTTGTGTTCGTCGATATGGTGAATGTTCTCTTATTTACAGGGTAGCTGTCCTTCTCATGTCCAAGCCGGCTCGGCGAGTCTTGCAACGCATAAGTACCTAGCCGTGAGTATAACTTTACCAGCTGGACGATGTTCCATAATAGTCGATCAATACATACATGAACCTTGGAAACCCCGATTCTTCGGACATAAACCTCAAGCTGTCAGCTTCCCAAACTCGACCTCCATGGCTGTCAGTTAGGCAGTGGGGGTTGCCATGGCAGGAACAGCCATATCGGCAATGGGTGCAGCAGTGCGCTTCATCTCCGTGGGACCACAGGTGCTGACCTTCAAGCCAGCGTAGATGGACGAGTACGCCGCGGGCAGAAGCTCATCAGGCTGACCAGCCGGAATGGTTCCGACATAGGGGTTGAAGTTGTAGATACCGCAGGGGCAGTGGTCGAGAATCTGCATCCCAGCTGTTCCGGAGAGCACCGTAGACCCCCCACGAGCGAGACTGAATGAGATAGCGCCGGGCTTCATGTCAACGGAGAACTTGGCTGCGCCTGCGGGTGCTTGGACTGTTACGCTGGTACCTCCGACATTGATGGACACAGAGCCTGCCTCCTTCAGAAGGGTGACAACGAAGACCTTATCCTGCATAGTCTCCCAGCCATACGGACGACCCTTGAAGTAGTTACCAGAGGCGTTGTTTGCGTCCGCCATGGTGGTATCTGTGGCATCGCAGTTGAGGCTTCTGAGGGTAGGTCGGAACCAGTAGACAATCTGATCTTCTGAAATGTACGGCTTAACGTCACTTCCACCGTTGTGGAATGCATTGATGAATGGCTTTGCCATATCAAGCCAGCCGTTATGGGGAAATCCGTAAACCCATTTCGAGTTGCCATCATCCCCGTGGGGACTGTCCAGACGACCTACGTAGTGGCTCTCGCCGTAGTCGTTCCAGGTGACGATCTCAAGAAAGCGGGGCTTAAGGGTCAGGATTTCCTGCCAGCGGTCATACCAGAGAGTGTCAGATGGGAAGACCCAGTTCTTTGAGTAGGGGACCTCTGGACCGAAGTGGGTGAAGAACCAAGGGGACACCGGCGCAATGTAAGGCTTTCCCTTGAGTGCAGCGATGTAAGCTTGATCTCCCTGCTGGACAGTGACATTTCCGTAGCCATCGGGTGCCTTATTTCTGCCATTGTTGGGCCACCCAAGCCAGTTCAAGGCGCCATCAATAACGCTGAAGTCCGTGCCGTATTCAGGGTGGTAGTTGGGTGCCCAGAAGACGCTGACACCAGCAGCACTGCGCATGGCTGCGACATCCATACCGTCTCCGGCAAAGGATGAAGCGAAGACCTTGCCATCGACGATAAGCTGTGCCGGCCGGGACGCGTACTTGGCGATCATTTGACCAACGCGAGTCGCCTCACTGACTCCGTACCAGTTGAAGTCGAAGGAGATAAAGACCTTCATGCCATTGTTGGCAGCTGACTGGTAGGCGAGGTCCAGCTGAGCTTCGCTGTAAGAGTCTGTACCAATGTTGAGAGCAAAGGCGTCAATGCCAGCTGCCTTGGCGTGCTGCATGTCGGCATCGTACTCGCTGGAAGAGCTTCGAGCACCGACGATACCAATCTGTGGACGGCTGTTAGTACCGCTGAAGATGACTCAGACGTGAGAGACATACCATGAAGTGACAGAAAACCAGCTTTTCGCCACTAGATTGGCGCTGAATGAGGGCATCATCCGAGGAGGGTGGGACAGCAAGGCCGACCACCGGAGCAACAGCTGTTGCTGCCACTATGGCTTTCAGGATACCTCTGAGGAACATCATCTTGGCTGATGCACTCAATGGAATAAGAATGAGAGAGAAGACAGTGGTATGTACAAAAATGGCTTCCAAGACAGCTCTGATATCAGAGTCTGAGGACTTACAAGTCTTTCTTTTGCTGTTTCTTCATCTCTTTGTCTTCTTTATACAATGCAAACAGTCATGACAGAATTATGTCTTCGAACCGTCTTCGGCAAGATCTGCAACAAACAGGACTGCCGACATGTAAAGGTCCGATGACAAGCCGTTGTAGGCCCGGTTGAATCATGCCGCTGGCCTTGATGCTCCATTTCGCAACAAAGTGTTCATGAGACAGCAGGCTCTTGCTTCATTCGTCTTTGTCTGATCATGCTTCACAGTATCACTAAGCCAATAAGAAGTCCAACATGCTACGTTGCAGCGAGCGTCGTTGCTTGCAGGCAATACATACTGCATGCAGCCTTGAGAGCGTTGAAGTCATGAACAAATATCCAAATATCCACCGGTTGAAAGGATGAAACTACGGATCAGGCACTTTGACGGTTGCGAACAGCGCCGAAGTGTTTGTCATCCGTGTGGAACATCACGGCCCACACAACAAATCAAAGAAACCCCTGTTTGTCACACGGTCTCGCTGAGGCCCTCATGCCAGTGTCTTTGTAGTCTCTGGATGCTGAATGGACCTTCTAATATGCATGACATTCGGGCCGTGGGGTCAACCAGTCTCCGAATGCCACCCTACCGCCGGCCCATATGTTTTCTCCCTTCGGGAGTTGGGCAGGTCATATATCTGGGGTGCATATGCAGAGCTCGGTATCTTGTGGCCAGACCCGTGCCGCATATTAGCGAGTACCACATGACGGCTGTCTCATCTCCTGCCACATGGTGTCAAGACCCGACAGTGCGGAGTAGGCCCAATAGCACGTCAACCTCATTCTCTGTTCCGACGCAGCCTCCAATCAGGTACCTGAAGCAGAAGCTTAGTAGAAGAAAAACGGGCCATGTGCATGTCGCATCATTCCGACGTCTAGTGCCACGTAGATGAGATGACAGCGTCGGCGAAAGTCGGGGTCCCTTTAAACCGACGTCAACAATCTCACCGAGTGTTAGACCAACGTAGTAGCCCTGAACCAATATTTAGTCTTGGCCAGCCGGATGCAGCCCAGCTCCACTATGTGTTTGTTCATGATATGACGAGGAGAAAACGAAGAGATGTCGGCCCACGAAAACGAGACATTCTTTTGTACGCATACGGCCTTTTCTGATTCACCTCATCGCAACAGAATTGTAACGAAGAGAAGGATTAGCCCCACCACTCATCATACAGGTCTAACCCGCCCTTCAGCAAATGAGGTTGTGTCATGGGATGGTCATGGAGGGTGCATCTGGTTTGGGGAAATCACCCGTTTTTGCGTCCTTTTCTCCTGGTTGGCTGTCAAGTCTAATGCTCGGATCCAATTACCACTGTCCCCCACCATCCTACAATCTTTGAAGCTTCCATCCATTCAGCAGTGAAGTAGCCTTCAATCGTGCACCGCATTGCGCTCATCTGGATCTCTCATATGATCTGGAAATGACGAGGGCCGAGCTTCATAATCAATGATCACCGTCCACGGCCCAAGTCAGGAAATTAAAGCTAGGTGTCGTCGTTCGGTCCTAACAACGTCTCATTAAGAATGATTGCTTTAGTCTATTGCCAAGACGTGTGTAAACGCGGCAGTGGCGGTCTGGAAATCATGCTGTCAGCTGCTTCATGCCAAGCAACCTCAGGGATAGGATCTAGTACCCGCGGTAAACTTCCGCCAGTAGGAAAAACATTTTGCTAGTCTCATTCACATTAAATTGAATTCTGACATCGCGGATGGCAGTGAGTTTATGATTGGCTCTTTTAACTCTGCAGCGATTTCCTTTTACCTGCTCTGACTAAATCATCGAACTAAGGGTTGACATACGAGGAATGTTTTCGCAAGCCAATGCTTGGTTGGGCCGAGAGTAAGGAGAAATGGAAACACTAATCTGCTTTCACTTTTCAATTCTAGCGGGTTGAATGATGAGTTTTGTGTCCCACTAAAATTCCACTGGTCACATAATGGCAGTCCTGATATATTAGTCTGGAACTTTGAATGACTGGTGGGCATTTGGTGTTGTCTACGACAACTTTGAATTCACACGCATCAGCACAAATGCTTGGCAGCACCCCATTCATTGTGTGCAACGAAGATGAATCATAGTTAAACAACGCCAGATATTCCCCTCCAACCCTGTTACAAGCTCCATCGAAATACCAATAATGAGACCAGTAGTTGAATCATGAATTGTACCGTCGTGAGTGCAAGCATCACTGGCACAGTCGCGTTTTGTAGATCATCTTCGTGTGTGCGGAGCCAAGCCGGTATGAACCACATTGTGGACACAAGTGTGATAACAGTGACGGCGAGGACAGGAATCAAGATAATCAAAATTGAATATCGTTGTTGAATGTGAATGCTCCATCCAGTGAAACGAGAACCGGGTGATTCACCCAGTCGTGTTGGAAATGAACCGTTGAGCTGCTTTGATGTTCTACATTCATCTTGGTTATTGTAGAAATACCAAGCTTCTCCGCTCAAGCAGGGCAATTCATGGTCATCTTCCCACGGGCGAGGAGTATATTGATAACTTTTGTACTCGGGATCTACTTCTCGTGGATAACGCTCTTTATCCTCGTGTACAACGACCGAGCATCTGTTGGACTGCTGGCGAAAGTGAAAGCTCCGAAACTGTGAATTGTTAGCGACGATGCCTACTTAAATTTTGATTCTCAGGTTGGATTACTCTGTAGAACCTCACTCCAGTTGCAATCTTCCATCTGCTGGATGGGAAACTTCGAAATGCCGTGCGAAGACTACGAAGTGTCTCCTGATCGTTATTGCCAAGTTCGACGGCGCATGCAACCGATTCTTCTCTTCCAATGTTTGCTGTGAGGTATAGCACCACTTTAGATCTTTTGATCTCTTGTCCAACTGCTTCAGAAGATGCTTCGGCCCCCCTTTGATCGCTTCGTTGATCGTCACCTGCGAATCTTTCCGCTTTTCCGTATGTGCCATTAACACCCTAGGGAGTAATTCCTGTACCCAATTGCACATCTGCACGCTGTGGATATGCAGATTCAGGCACAAGTGAAGTCCTGTAGTCTCCTCTACTTTGGAACTGATGAAGAACCTGCATCAGGGTAGTCTCTCGAAGAATTACTGCTTGGCGACCCAGTGCTTGCAATCCAGTTGGGAGTGGAAAATAACATGAGTTCGAAAGGCGCGGGAAAATTCGCTGGGCAGAAGATGTCGGAATATCATCATAGAATCTCTGAGTAGTAAGGCGAGCCTCAGAAAAGACCACAGAATAGATCCTAGTGAAACCGGGCTTCGGCACTCTTTCTGGATCCGCTAGGGGCCACCAGGACAGTTGAGTTCCTCCGACTGTTTCTATGCCTCGTTTCCATGCATCCGTGACAATAGATGATGCGTGCCATAATGGTTGAAGCACATAATACACGTCTACACATTGACTGGAATTCTTATTCAACTGGCGATCGTTATCCTGGGGGTCATCAGGGTTGTTCTCATCGCTCATAAGACCGTCTTGCTGTGAGCTGTCCAGCTGCGAGGTATTGTCCTTGGTGGGGTTTAGTCTGTAGCCTTCAAGCCAAGGATCCCCAATCCTAGGACGTTGAAGCCCGAGTTCTTGCCTGGGTTCTTGCCTGGATGCAAATCTGGGCTCAGCTTTGGGACTTTCATGTCTCGAGCTTTTAGCACCTTTAGTCCTGTTGATGGAATTCAAGAAGGTCTTCATCCTGCCCGCGAGATCTTTTTCATTGGGGGGAGCTAAAGGCATTTCCTTCCCAGTCGTACTGACATGATCTTCTCCTTGAGAGGCTGAAAGATGAATAGCCGTCCGCGATGTCGCCGAGGAGTTCCAGTGGTCTTCGGGGTCCTGTGGTAGTTCAGATGGCGTAGTGGCAATTTCCCGATCTTGTGTTGTATGGATAGTTGGAATGCTCGTGGCATGGAACCCACTTTGTTGGGTATAAGGCGTCGTTTTGAGTGTTTGAGACAAATTTTCTGCTGCCGCTCCCCCGGCTGGTATGCTCCGTCCATCGGTTGGCAGCTCAAAGATACCTCCCGTCAGAGCATCAAGGCCGGATTGGATTACTTCTTCTCGATGGGCAATCTTTCCACGAAGAAATTTGTTAAGGTGCTCAAATTTCTTCACGCGGCTACTTCTCGCAACTGCGAGCGCAGACCCGTTGAATAGTCCCGAGGCCGTATCTTTCCTCGTACTGCGATAGTTGTTATCGATAGCAGGCTGGGAACGGGGTTGTGCAGACTTTGGTGCTCGCTTGTCAAGATCTAGAAGCGCACTGAGTGTTTCAGGGGACTGGCGTCTGAGACGGCCGACTTTCAGCTCATCCTGATATTCTTTCTTGGCGTCTATTAGAACTTGGTCCAGCCTCGTACACAGGGCGGCTGATTCCAACCTCTTTTCGGGGTCTTTGTCCAGCATCCCACTTTCCACAAGGTCAAGTACGCGACAGGTGATAGTGTCAGTTTTGCGCGATGAACTCCGAAGATACTCGTGCCAGTTTAGAACGGCAGGCAAGACATCGATGCCATCGTGGAAGGCATCGCTGCAGTTGGAAACATTCACACTGGAGTCATGACTGTGACGCTGGCGAAGTCTTTTGTGGACCATCACTCGCATCTCACCATAATTCTCATAGCCTTGGGAGCCGAGAACCACCCAAGTAGCCACCGCAGAGAACACGCAACCTAAAGACCATGTGTCAATCGTGGTTGAATCAAGCCGTTTGGCCTCTCCGGCTGGCTCCTCTCGCTCAGGTGCTCCTAGACCGGTCAATTAGCTACTGTTTGTCAAACTCATCGAAGCTATCAGAGTGACTTATACCATATGTTCTGTTGTCACCCAGCATATGTGTTGTTTGAGGCTTCCCAATGTCACTCTTTTCAAATCGCATGAAACCGAAATTAGCGAGTTTGAATTTGCCTCGTACGCGAAGAATGTTGTCTGGGTTGATATCTCCATGCCATCTGCGAAGTCGTAATGTCAATGGCGAAGCCATGAAACATGATTAAGTTGGAAGGTTTACATACCCTACGTACTTCTGTACCTTATCTCCACGTACATGCTCTAGCTGGTGGATTCTTGCAAGAGTCTTCGCGATTTCAAACAGGCTCTCCCAAAAGGCAATGATCTCTTCGTTCAGAACAGGGGGGTATGTATCTGCCAAGTACTCATCGAGGTCTTGCTCTCCAAACTCCAGCATTATGTGGCGTGTGATTCCCTGTGAAAAGCCGTTGTCTGTCCGATCATGACGAAGGTACTCTCCTAGATAGGTGACTACGCCGAGAGACCTCGGGTCTTTGGTGCCGTTAAACCGCTTGAAGGCATCACTATCTAACTTGTAAAGATCATCAAAACCATTGAGGTATGATTTGACTGCAAAATCATAGTACTTTAGGGGTGTCAGGTTGCAACCCAGCTCGTATCCTTGGGATATAGACTCACTTCAATGCCTGTGTTGTGATCTTGCTTCCTGGGCTCTAAGATCTGCCGCAGGTTCTCGTTTTCCACCAGATCAGCATGAATCTTGTGGTGATGTACTTCGGCAGTTCCTCCCTCGTTGATTATATCGCGGTCAAAGAATGGCAAAATGCTTTTCCCTTCGATGCCTGTCTCAACCATGTCGAGGACATTCAGTGCTGGGTGGAAGGCCCAACGCCGACGTTCGAAGTCTGTGGAGACACCCGTATAACCTGTGGTTTTGTATCGGTCCGGCAGTGTGATTTTGTCCTCCTTCAAAGCCTGCTCGATGTCGGTGTATAGATGAGACAAGTTGTGGAAACCGAGGTGAGTGTCCGCTATTGAGTTGCGGAATATATGAAGCATATGGCCGCACTCCATTTGCACCAAGATTGCGAATAAGATGGGATCGCGTTCAACGTCTTTGTCTTTCAGAGTAGGAAAGAACTTCCCCGTAAAACCTTCTCGATTGTCGTAAATGGCGGAAAACAAGCGCACGACTCTACTCGATGTTGCGTTGCTCCCTTTCTGGAGGAGCCATCGGGAAATCTGCCTCGGAAAGTAGAATTCTTTTCCTTCGAAATTCGTTCTGCGAATACCATCACTCTGAAGGTAGTAGAGAAACTCTGTGTGGATGTCGGTTGGCAGCGGTGCGCCGTCCATGCTCACTAAAGCTTCCCAGGAAGTGTTGAGAAAACGGCCTGCAAAGCTAGGTGGAACTTGTCGAAATGCCCAACATTGACAATCTGAAAAGCGTTCGATGACTTCTCGATAATAAAGAGGTGAGACGAAGTGGAAGGACAGACACAACTAGGACAGATAAATTAGCCGGCAGTGCAGCGCTCTACTGAGACGATATTGAGACTGAGGCAGGAATGGGAATCTTGGGGACGGGGCTGAGCTGGTCGCGCTTCACCATGGTCTGACCGGTTCTCCGTGTTGCTAGTGATCTCAAAGTGCATGCGAACCACCAGTGACTGGTTTGCGCTTCACCGCTACACAATCAGGCGTACAAGGCAGAGACCCTCTGCCTGCTTCAGCCCACCACCATCCAGCTTGATCCCAAAATTGCCTTGCTGCCGCTGTCTCCATGGGAAATGAACGATTGGATCACCGCGTGCGTGCCTATGCAGCAGTTCGATAAATGCTGTGAGACAGAATTGCTGACATGCAGCGCCGTGACCGTCACGCTCGTGCCTGACAACACGGAGGCTGATCAGCTCAGAATGTAACGTTGGGATGCCACCCTGCAGCCTCACTTACTTGCCTACGCCTCCACTTCAATCGTGTGTCATTCTTGTGATCATTGGAAGCGCTAATGCCGGATACCATTTTTGTCACAAACGCACCTAGGCACAATACTTCATGGAAGGTGACACAGCATGTCCAAATTGTACGTTTCCAAAAATAAGCCTGAAGGGAATGGCAGCACGCTCAGTACGATATGTCTAATATCTTATATCCCCAATCTTTGTAATCACGGCGCCCTCATGGGCATCCACTGTTTCCGATGCATGCTATCCCAGCGCCTTCATCTTTACACGAGTGGCCTTTGCACGAGTGGCGACAAAGTCAGCCTTTTTGCAACTGACATTTCCTTCACACGATTTGAGACGGACTGAAGGAAGTGCTTTTGATCGGCACTAGCGGGATTGGACGTGGCCTCCAGCTCTTAGGTCGCCATGCTCGATTTACCCATGTGGGGCGTGCCATCGTACTCGTGAACGCTGTTGTGGGACCGTATCCGGCCCCGGTACGCCCGAACTCCTCGGTGCTGCTGTTCTCCCCCTGGTCTCTGGTTGGAACGCCGCGGGCAGTGGGAAGCATCCTTCCTCGAGATTTGCTTTCCGCCCATTTGTTTCCGTAATATGCGACCAAGAGCGTCAGAGAGGTGAGCGGAAGAGTGACTTGCAGCCATCGTTCCATTGCAATCGGCGAGAAAGTGCCCTTTGGCGAATCTGAGTCTTGATACTTGATGATGTCCGTACTGAAAAAGGTCTGCGGCTGAAGTCAGTAAGGCAACAGCATTGCACGCATGTTTACCTGGTTTCCCTTCAGCTTACCGACACAAATGTTGCTGGCAGGTAAATCAAGGTCACGATAGTGACAATTCTCACCAAGATTGCTTCTTTCTCCATGTTGTGATTCAGCCGTTCTAGCCGGTGTTGTTTGATCAGCTCGCGCCGGTCTCTGGTTAACTTCACTAGTGCTTTGGCTCGACTAATTTGTAAGGTGAAATCATTGACCAAGAAAGATAGCTGTGTGCAGAACTCGTCAATATCATCCGTGCAAGATGAGCGTAGGTCGAAGTCTTGATTCTCATCCAATTTCGTATAAAACCGCATGAGAGACTTCATGACCTCGATTTTCGACTCAAGCACCGTGATAGACTCGCTGATCTTCTCCTACCATATCAGAAAACGTTGGATGTCCGCAGCTGTGTAGATCGTGTAGTGATATCCGCCTGTTGTTGGCGCCAGCAGAGCCATCTTGGTCCGAGACGTGGCAATGAGCTTGCAAGCCTTTGAGTCGAATACTTCAGAAATATGACTAACCTCAGCAACAACAACCTGTTCAAGCCACTTGATGTATGCTCTCCAGTCTTCTGTGGACCAACGACAAAACATCACATGAGCTGAGAGGCTTGATCGGAAGCATTCTATTGCATCAACAAACGACTTGTCTTCTGGCCGAGCGTTGTTCCCAGTCAACTCTTTGAATTCCTGTGCGTCTAGTCCTCCCTTGACAACAATCCAAAGAGAATTCCCCCCTACGACGTCGAACTTGTGGTAAAAGGCAGCTGGGCGAATAGAAAAATCAGGATTCTCTGGATCTTCGGGTTTGGCCGTCACTCCTTTCAGGTTGTAGCATATTTGATATTGTCTTCCGGAGCGACCAAGGCTGTTGATGCAAGATTTCCCATGGGACTGCTTCAAACACCGTTGCTCTCGGAAACTGCTGAAACTGAGATTGTAAGGTTCACTTTGGAGTCCATTAACAAGCAAGAAATCCAGGATGTCCGGCATTACCTGATGAAAGGTGAGAATTTCCGACAACATTGACCGAGTGATATTGAGACGTGCGCGCGAATTGCGGCCAATATGTAGCTATAAGATCGTTAATCCTTCCAATGCGAAAGAAATATGAAGATGAAATGCAGGTTTGTGACGCACATAAATCGGCACTTTGGGTCTTTCTTGGCCACGCCCAGTAGCTGATTCGACAACCCATGTCCAATTTGCCGGACTCCTAGCCATTGTGTAAGAGTGTTTGGGGAGTGGATATTTCGCCTCGACACGTCTGCCAATTCTGTCAGTTTATACGCCCAATCCGACAAGCAGTCGATCAAACCTTCTCCAGCCCCATCATTAGTCTTGAGGTCTCGGAAGCATACGTCCACCTTCTCAACGTCTCTTTCACAGAGATCGTCTGATGTCTAATCCAGTCTCTCTAAATATCTCGACAGTGCAATTGGGTACGTGCTGATGCTTCTTTGAAGGCGATTTTGCGGGTATCTGTCTCTTTCGTCGTAAGATGCTTGAAACTCCGCCGGTAGGGGATTCACAGTGTCCATTGAAGAGGACGATAATGACGAAGAATTCTATGAGATCCAGACTTTTTTCGATGCTTCAGTGATCCCCGGTGTTGTAGTTATGGATGGCATCAAGCTTGATAGCGCAGCCGCATAGACGCACTTGTCATGCTATCGTCACGGCCAGGGGAGGGTGCATCACCGAGTCACTAGCTTATCTTTGTCACACGCATTTGCGCAAATCCAATGTCTAGGACTTCTCAGAATGCCCCGTAGGACCCTCCACGTATATGTGCCGTAAGCTGCGGACGCCGCATAAAGTGCACTTTGCCTCCCCAACAAGGCGCATGACCATCACATTCCGTGTCTTACACCGCATCATCTGCATCCGCCGCAGTCAGGCGCTTTTAGACGTGGCTAGGCAGACCTGGTGTGGGGCATCCCCAATCATCCCATTGCCACATGCAGTTTTGGCATCCATGGTTACATACAGCCTGCATGGTTCCTGTCCCAGAGCCTGATCTCCCCATGGCCCGATTTAGGCAACCAGAGGCTGCCTTGTTTCGATACATCATTACAACCTCGTTGTCCTATGATCAGCTACGCTTTGGGCATCTATTCCTGTATGTCTACCCAAAAAAGAAGAACAAGAAAAACCAAACCTCGTCATTGGCGTTGAAAGTCCAGACACAGTGGGCGCACATGGTGTCGGTCTTGTCTGCCGCATAAATAATGCAAGGTTCTTTTCTTTCCGATCGCAAGCCGCTTCCAGGACACCATCACTTGGAGAGCGGTAAGCCAATCAATGGATTTAACAACTCAAGGCCCACCCGTATGATGACTCCGCCCCTTGTCAAATCAGTTTTTCAACCTTCCGAGTCCGAAAATGAGGGTTTCCGTTGAGCTGATTTTTGATTAACATCTCGCAAGGCAGCAAGTTCGTTTCGATCTTCCTGTAATTTCTCAGCGTCCCTCTTTCATAGATATGGAATAGATAAGCGATTGGAGTATCATAGACATACCTTCGTGAGCCTTTCTGGGACTTCGAAAACCCACCGGTCACCCTTCTAGCAATGCAAAACACAGTCAGCGATAATAATCTAAAGCCCCTTGCCAGGTCAATGAAATTTACCTTTTCACCATCGTCTGGAAATTGCCGGTCCGGCCATTTTCTTTGCAAAAATGCCTTTAAAGTATCCCAGGTAATCTCGTAGGATGAATAGTGATCATACACCAAGCTAGAGACAGTGGTATCGTGAGACTGTGTACTCTTCCCGCTGTACATGGTGTCCGCTCTATGTTTCTTTCGGCTAAGCCGTGATAACAACGAAGACTGGTGCGAATTATGGGTATGCCGGCGTGGAAGCTCAGCGGGGTGCTGTGAGGAAGGCATGGCGCCGGCCTATCAACGGTATGCCTTAGAAGTGGTATGTTGTTCACTGCAGACAGTGAATGGCGGAGTCGCATGTGCCGTGGAAACGCTTAGTAAGGTTGATTGACGCTGAGGTAGTCAGGACTGAAGCTGAGTGCGATGGCGAAGTCAGTTCTTTATGGTATTTCGGCTGTGCTTAGTCTAGTGGGACGCGAACTGTCACCGAGCACCGGGCGAGGCCGCCAAAGGGTGCCTAGCCGCCTCACTTGTTCGCCTTGTGTGGCGTTAAAACAGACCGAGAGCCCTTGTTCGCCATCTGAGCTGTCACATAGACAACTATTATGCCATCTTCTTAATTGCAGAGCCGCATACAGATGTATTTTGGGGGGTTATCGTGTTTGATGACATTGCCTTCTGAAATCTGCGTCAGCCAGAATTTACTCGAGGTGAAAGCGGGATGTATCAAACCATTCCGTCCGGGCTGTTCGGTATGTATGATTGGACGTTCTTACTGAACGGAGCACTGGTTGAAGTCTCTCCACTGGATCTATCCGCTGTGCAGATATGACAGTACGTGAATCTATGAATGTGTCATGGAGCAAATTGCATTAGAGTGAGCCAGATATCACGTGATGCTTCTGACCAGAAGTTGCCCTCCCAAGGTACGACCGAGTTCAGATTTTAGATTAATCCGATTCAGCTGGTAACGTACTCTAGATAATCATAGAAGAAATAACTGAGTTTTACAGAGTAAATCCGGTGCATGGGATGTCTCTTTTTGGGCGCTTTTGGGTGTACCATCTAGTGCCTGTATTGGTGTTGATGTCAGTGCTGCTATTTTAGGGAGAGCGCTTATCGCGTCTTGCCGTCTCCGTAGCGGGACCCTGCTGGAAGCCCAGGTAACCAATTCAACGACGCTCATAGCGGACGAAACTGATGCGTGCCTTAAGGCTTAATAATGCTGAAGAGTTGTCTTCGAGGATCCACCCCACAGGCTTATGCAAGGAAAGTCATGTGTAACTTCATTAGTCTTGGACTCTTGAAATGTTGTCCCCGGTTGTTGTTGGATGAAGCTGCAAGAGATTCATGGACCTCGATGGGATACGACTGAAAGCACGAGGGCGGGTTCATGTATGATCACGACATTTGTAACGATCCATTTTTTCACATGTTTAATCAGCCTCGGGCCGAGCAACAACAACCACTTGTCATCAGCTAGCCCAGTCTGAGATGGAATGTTAGTACTGCACCCATTGAATGAGCACACGCGGCCCGATGGGAACTCTGCGCCCTGTCTATTTCCCATGTAACATTCCATGGTCACGTCCGAGGTTGGCGGGGCATTCGTGTCCGTTTCCTTTCGTGGCGTTTCGTGAGATTGTCTTGGGCTCCCTGCGCCTCCTTCTAGGCACGACCCATTCTAGCAGATTCAAACTTGGTTGTCGACCAATTACAGTATACGAAGTATTGAACAACCAGTCGATTTAAGACATCACAGCACTGAAATCTGCCCCCTTGTTATGAAGATCTCACGCACGAAACTCCCTTACCTTCCCCACATATCCCCAGGTCAGTTGTATTTGTATCTTGCTGGACCGTCGCCATCCAGCCCCAATAAATTGACTGAATCTGGAGCTTTGAGGTTCCAGTCTGTTCGCAATGAAGCCTCCATTGCTCGTCGGTTCCCTGGTAATACCAAGGATCATTGCAAGTGCTATTGCACCCGAGGTGGATCAGGATGATCCATCGACAGTGTGCTTTACATGGTTCTCAACTTATCTAGAGCCAATTTTGAGTTCAGTCTGCTCTAACAGCACCACAACATCATCAACTGAGACGGGAATTGAAGCTTCCACCAATCTCTCAGATGACGTCTCCGAGACCCTGTCTGCGTCGTTGGGTCCTTGGCTCTCAGCATCGCCATCCAAGATACTGACGGGCATATCAACAAAGCCATTCTCGACAGGACCAACTGCACCTCTGCAACCGCCTTCTTTCCTTCTCTCATCGTCATCATCCTTCACCGCCTTGACATTCCCACCGTCCACACTGCTTACCGATACATCCAGGGCAACGTCAACAGGACCAGCTCTATCTCAACAACCCTCTGCTCTCGGCTCCCCATCAGGACTTCTCCCATCGTCATTCACATCTACATCCAACGTCCCAGCTTCGTCAAATCCACCGCAGTTCAGTACCACCAGCTCCAATTCTGTTCCCCTACCGTCAGAGTCGGCCGCGACCGTTCAACCCTTGATATTTCTCGTTGTTCCAGGCCCAACACTTGTGAAACGGAGTCTGAGGAGGAGAGTCCTAGGGGGCTTTGTGGTTGAGAATACGAATGAAGATCGCCAAGATTGCAACAACGCAAAACCCTACGACTTAGCCTTTGGACAGCTCTCGATCGATGGTGTACCTGTGTTCTATGCTGGCGAGAGCTATAAACTTCTCAACGCCGGAGGAACACCGCCAGTGGACTCCGTCACAACGACATTCAGTGTTTCCGAAGGAACTCTTCAGTTTGCTAACCCGATCCTGCCCGTCGATCAGGCGAGTTTCTGCCAGGATCGAACCGCACGGGTCTATATCACCTTTGCTTCCCGGCCACCCATTGCGACCCAGTCTCTCTCGTAGCATACACAGGTGAGATTGATCAAAGCCCGACATTTCTGGACGACCACCCAAGTGCTAATTGCAGAAATATCTTAGTCGAACAATGTCAAAACGGCCAGATCGTTGCCCCCAGCTCGTCTAGTCAGGACATGGGTAGTTCGAGATTGTCGGCCACGAGCTCGAGCCTGATAGGACCCTCGAGCAGCCCAACAAGCGGTTTAACTACTATAGGCCCATCCAGTGTGCCTCCAGGCAGCTTCGCATCACCTAGCACACAGCCGTCAGTCTCAATGACTACATTAGGTTCGATGGCGACGCTGGGCCCTCAAGCCTTTCATCGTCATCGCCCGTTCTCAGTGGTTCGCAGTCCTCTTTATCAGCGCCATCGTCCTTGCCAACATCGCCTTCGCAATCTCTATTTTCGTCGTCGTCGTTGACAGCGAGCTCCCTTACTCGAGCGTCAACAATATCCACCTCGGAATGTGTCGTAAACCCCACCTCTACCTCAATATCAACGCCGTCTTCGGCAATTGTTTTCAACTCCCCTTCAATTACTTCATCTACATCAAGCCTCAACAACAGTTCTCCACTCCTTACGCTGAGTCCATCCAGTAATATCCTCCACTCTCCGTCCATGAGGAGCGATCTCTCCTCGGCAAGTCTATCAACACTGATCTCGCCTTCATCACCTGTATCGAGTCTGTCGCCCGTGTCCAGCTCCTTGACACTATCAAGCTCCTCCTCCACAGCGACTCCCCCGCCAATCTCAACCCCCCCGGAAAAGTCCACATTGAGTGCATCGCCCACGGAAAGCTCTCCATCCAGTGCAAATTCTTCGCCTGTCTCGACACCCTCGCCAGATTCAAGTTCCTCACTCGTAGCGAGTTCCTCTCCCACAAGAGATTCTTTGCCTGGTTCGACTTCCTCCCCGACGACGAGTTCGTTAGCCGTGGCAAGTCCTTCAGTCACATCTACTTCCTTGCCTTTTACTAGTTTCTCGAACACAACGGTTTCTTCGCCCATTTCGAGTTCCGTACCCTTCTCAAGCTTTTCAAACACAACGAGTCTGCCGCCCATATCAAGTCCTCCATCCGCCACAAGTTCTCCGTCTTCATCGATGAGCTCAACTTCTTCATCCACTGGACCTGGACAAACCTTTTGCGCTACCGGGAACATGATGATCAGACGAGCTAATGCTTACAAAAAGCGGAATCCGTCTTCGAACCTGCCAGAAACGCTTGAAAGCTTTTTTCTATGGGTTCAACCTCATAAAAAGCTCGATTTCTGGATCAAATGGTTAAGACGGTAGGCGTCCGAAAGAAGGCGACTCGAACACATTGAACTAAATCATATGTATGTAACAAAGAATATCAGACAACCTTTGGGGATTTAGTAGCAAGAGTACAAAGATACAAACGTCGTTTGAATAAATATCGTCCGATACCGGCCGTGCCGCAGGTTGTTCTGGAAATTCCACATACATGCATAACAAACTCTTATCTACTTTCTTTCAAACATGACTTGTCACCAGCGCCAGCCGGTCGTCAAATCCAGGATCTAATTCTCTTTATCCACGATAATGCTTTTAGTTTGCGCATTGACGTTCTTGGCCGCCTTTTGCAACTTGTCCTACAATGATGCCAGATGGCTTCGAATTTGAGGACTGCTGAGAGCCTATGTTCTGGCGCCCAATCCAGCCTCATGCTACAGAGAGCAGGGTGAGCCAGGTAGGGAATCGACTTGTGGGGCAGGTCGCTGTTATCGATACTCATATGGCTGTCACAGGCACTAGCGGAAAGAAGTGCATTAGGGAGTTTGGCATGGTGTTGCTCTAGTGAAGAGAGCAAAAACATACGGGCAAATAGAAGAGTGTGAGCGTTCATCTACAATTGGTTTTCTCGCTTTAGATGCACTGAGATGCCAAAATGAAAACCGCCTTAGGAAGTGGGGTCTGTTCTTTTTCGTCTTTTCTTTTTCTCATTTCCTGTTCTCTATCGTCTTATTGTGAACCTCGTTTATCTGATCACCCCTTGTCGACAAAGCATGCAGGGGGGAGGGGTTGCTTGGACTATTAGCGGCCATCCTGCATGAACCCCGCTTCCTTCTTGCCGCCTTGGAGTAAGCTTATCTTAAGAACTGCCTCCTCCCTGTTTTCAGACTTCAAGAACAGCAAATTTACCCACTCGTCCTCTTTTCAATCTGCGCAACAATGTTTCGTCGCAAGAAGAAGACGCCTGCCCGAGAGCCTCCACAAGCTTTCGGCTACAACCGAGATGCCGTCGTCTCACTCGTGAAGGGCCACTACCGCCTGCTCGTGGACATGGGCCATCTGCACCCGGAAGCCCTTCAGGCGCCACCCGAAACGGGATGGACCGATGAGGAGCTTAACGTCGACGCGCTGCGGACCCTAGGCCGCTCTGATAAGGTCACTGACCTTTTACGACATCTTCCGTATCCGCGAGCGGGAGCCCCCAGTACTGACGAAGCGGGCGACGACGCGGTGGTCTACTATGAAACGAAGGTACTGTCCTACCTCAGAAACAAGTGGCAGCCGGAAAAGGACCCAGACCCAAATTGGCATGAACGGCCTTTTGCAATGCTTGGGTTGGCGCCTTTTGACAAACCATTGCCGCCGCATATGGTATCCTTGACATATGACGAAGCTGCAATCGGGGTGATTTGGCTCATCGATACGGAAAGAGGTTTGGCTTCTTAACATCCATTTTTCCCACATACCTTTTCTGCTGTATAGTATACTAAGAGAAGTGCAGGATGTGTCTATCCTCAGGGCGACGATTACTACCTGTATGATGACGCCCCTGCCGAGGCCGAAGAAGACGCGCCATGGCTCAACGCAAAGGCGGTTTCATTCCAGACCTTCTTCGAGAAGATGCACAAGGATATCTCAAGTCTGAAGCTGGTCCCAGCACCCGCTGCGGGAAACTTTGGGGCTGCTATTCGAGCGGTGAATGACCCGGATGCCAAGGTGAGCCCCGATCGCGAATACACAGCTCTACCCTGCTGCGTGTGACATCCAAAGGCATCGGGTAGGTACTGATAAATTTCAGGCGATCAAGAAGTTGTACCGTGAATACGGCTGGCCAGACGCCTTCAGAAAAGATGACTTTCTCAGGGCTGCCGTACCTGCTCGCGCGGCTATCTTGGACGACGAGTACGACTGGTCAGACGCGTAAATCAGGTTTTCTGCTCAAACAGAACGCGCACTAGCGTATTTTCGCATCAATGGAGACAGTCGTATGGTATAATTCAGATTGCAAAGAAGCAGATAGATATTCACATTACAGCGAATCCTCACAATTGAATCCGTGCAGTGTCCAGTTTATCAACTAACAGCAATACAATAGTAATACGTCGGCCAAATCTGCGACCCGCAGTTCTCTCCGGCTGGTCCAAGGACAGGGTTCAACGCGAACAGAACCGACATCTCGATGCCGTTGTCAGTTGCTAGCTGCCAGCAAGAAGCGCCGTCCCCAGCCTGGGCAAATTTGCTGCAATTGTCCGGGATGCCTGCTTGCGTGTTCGACGGCTTGGCCGGAGCGGTGGTGGTCGCCGGCGGCGCCGCCGTCGTCGTCGGCGTTCCTGAGCCGGTAGCCACGCCGACGCAGTAGTAGTACGTAGGCCAGATCATGGTACCGCAATTCTCACCGGCGGCGCCCAGCACAGGGTTCCAGCTGTAGAACAGCGCCAGGTCGACGCCCGCGTCAGTGGCAAGCTGCCAGCACCCAGCACCGTCGCCGGCCTGCGTCCACTTGTTGCAGTTGGGGTCTGTTCCCTCGTGTTGCGGTGTCGGTTTTGGGACGGACGAGGCTGTCGCGGACGCGGTCGTTGCCGGGAGACTCTGCGTGGTGGTTGGGCCGGTGGTGCCGTCGCCGGGGACGCCGACGCAGTAGTAATACCCGAACCAAATCTGGGTTCCGCAGTGCTCGCCGTCGGTGCCCAAGGCCGGGTTGAGTTCCCATAACCTGGTCTGCGTGATCTGCGCGTCGTTGGCGATCTTCCAACATGAAGCGGCGGTGTTCTCCGCCTTGACGAAGCGGTTGCAGTTCGCCGGGATGCCCTCTTGTTTGCGATCGGCCGGGACGGTGGAGGGGTCTGTGATAATGGGGAGAAGTTCGGTGCTCCCCGGACCACCGCGGACAGGCCCATTGGAGTCGTCGGGGATCTGATCGTCAGGCGGCTTCACCCAAGTGCCGCCAGGTCGTCTGGAAGGTCAAGAGTTTCAGCGGTCGAGCGCAAAGCGGTTGCAAGCTCATGGGTTCTAGAAGCACGGAATACTCACGAGATGCATAGGTACTGGCTTTCGGTCAGATGATCACAGGCACCCATCAGGTTAGGATTCCAGGTCATAAGCTGTGCAACGCTGATCGGCTCCGTGTCATTTGATATGGCTTTCGAGATGGTATCACTGTTTCGGCGATGGAAACGTTAGCAACTCGTCAAACGGATCTGGTGTTAAGATGCAAGATGATGGTACAGACCAAGTATCTCCAGCGTTGACGCGTAGTAGCTCGCAGGCTTCCGGTACGCAGACAAAGTCATATGAGTAGCAATCTTCCGCATTCGTTGCGAACATGAGCTGACCCGTTGCGACGCCGTACTCCTCGGCAAGTTCATTGCAGGCCTCGATGCCGTCCAGGCTGGCGTACCGAGCATCGACGGCCCGCGCGGTGCAGTTTGTCGGCACCACCGGTTCGACTGGCTCCGGCTCCGGTTCGGCTTCGTCTGGATCCTCTTCTCCGTCCGGGATCTCTTCATCAATGCCGGGGTCCTCGGTGTCTTCTTCGGGGTCCCACGGGGACCCGTCATCGCCGACGATAGGAGCACCCGTGGACGGAATATCCGTGGGCTCCGGGGCCGTCTCGTTGAGCTCAGTGGCGTAGGGGTACAGAGGGACGGCGCGCGTGGCCAAGGGGCCGATACTCGTCTGGCAGACCGATTGGATGTCCTGGAATTCGCCAACGAGATAGTCAGAGTGGTCGGTGTCTGGGAGGAACTCTGACGTGACGCGGCGATAGAGCATGTTAAGGAAACACTCAGAACAGAGCAAATCATCGTCGTATAACGTTGAGATGCGGCTATTCTCAGCGGACACGTTGGCCGGGTTAATGCACCACGGGTCCGCCGGATTTGCTGCGCAGTCGACTTGGACGACGTCCGAGCCGGTCCAGTTGTAGGACGCCGGCAGGCACCATTTGTTGTTCGTATCTCGCAGGCAGGCCATCTCCAGACCCTCTGCAAAGCGGAGACTGAGCGTCTCAGCCGGCACGGCACGGTCGCCGACAACGAGCCAATCTTCCGCGCAAGCGGAGGCCACGGTCTCTGTCCATGTTCGGACGTTGGTCTCGCAGCCTGGGACACACAGGGTGCTAGCATCCTGTTCAGTCCAGTAGACATCGTCGACTTTGACGGTCCACCCGAACAGGTCCTTGTCGCATGGCAAGGTGGTATTGCTGGAGGTATTAGTGTCGTCTGGACCGACGTAGGCATGTTTATGGGGGGTGGGGGACTCACAGAGCCTTGACGCAGTTTTCGCTGATACCGAGCATCTCAGCCATCGGCTGGGTAGGAACGAGCGGATATAGTTGGAAACCCAGCTCGCCCAAGGCGAATGGCAAAAATGCCAGCATACTAAGGCCTTGTTGAATTGACCACATCATCACAGACGAAAGAGTGACAGCTTGTGACGGATGAAAGGTGGGCAGGGCAATACTGATAGGTTGAAATGGGTAGGCTATCCAAGTTTTAACAAGACTCTTCTTGTCGCCATTGACGAGAGTTTTGATATTCCCGCTCGCGCTGAAACCGTGGAAATGCGTTGGGCATGACCCTGGATCTCCGTCAACCCTTACCTCGGCTGAGCAGATTGAGACATTTCTCGCCGAGAGCCTAGATCTGGCTCCAAATAGGCACCGATATCATCCTCGTGCCCCCAAATACCGCATGTGACTCATGCGTGTCTCGTTAGACGGACGCAATGGTAAGGGGCTTCCGTTCGTGACTTGTTTCTCGACGATAGCCATGCTGTATCTTGGTCATGAACCACGAGCTCGCATATCAAGCTCATTGCCAAGGACATCTGGGCCGACCAAAACCAATACCAAGCCCATGGGTTCGAATCCTGCTCGCACCCTGCATTTAGAAGCATCTGCAACCCTTCGGTAAGAAAGCGAGTGCAAGGCTGTTCTGGGTTGCATTGAGCTGATTCGACAATTTTAACGATAAGCACTAGGCGCTGCAGGTCAGATTTGACTCGTCCAAAGCCTCTGCAAGGGTGGTCAGACATCACAAGGGCATTCCCGCCCCTAGAGCTGCGGGAACCGGTTCACCTGCCGATTAAGGCGCATGAACCCCTGCATTCGGGCGCCGCCGGCAGACGACGAAACGGAACATCGTGACCGACCGAGGGAGATGGGCTCTTCATCTTCAAGTAGAGGATGAATAACGGGAGAAAAAAGATAGAAAAATCTTAAATGACCGTGAACATCCGCACGAGCGACGAAACTCTTGATGTGCGCCCATCCACACAGTCCTTGCCGAGATTCATTCATTTCCCATTTTCTTCGTAACCTCTTCTGCTGGTTGACCTCTACAGCCATGCGGTTTCTCCAGGTTTCATGGGTCACTCTGGTCCTGTCCACTCTTTCACGTCACGTCGTCGCAGAATCTTATTTCGCCCTCAACTCAGCTTACGGTCTTTTGCAGAACACTGTCGCTGCTGAGGACCTAGAGCTTCCCGTGGGAACTTGCAACGCTAATACGCCATGTGTGAACGGTGCCTGCTGTAGTGGTGTAAGTTATTGGTCTTCTTTATGCCTATCCCTGGTATGTTAACTAAACCTTCTGTCTTCCCACGTAGAACGGCAGCGGTCTATGTGGCTACTCTCCAGCGGAATGCGGTGCTGCCAACTGCACTTCCAACTGCGATGCCAAAGCCGAGTGTGGCCAGTATGGCAAGCCTGGGAAACAGATTTGTCCCCTTGGCGTATGTTGCTCTGAGTTCGGGTAAGCCATTCTGTCGTCATCTCCCTCGGATTGAGTCTGAAGGTAGATTAACACCGCTTGCGATAGCTTCTGTGGCTCAACCTCGGAGTTCTGCGATGCCGGCTGCCAAAAGGGCTTCGGCGGCTGCGGTGATGTGAAGCGGCCGTCCTGCAGCAAGGACGGTGGGAGCATCAACAAGCGCTCGATAGGTTACTACGAGTCCTGGGCCAACACCAGAGCCTGCAGCGCTGTCTCCCCCGAGGACCTCAACTTGGACGGTCTCACGCATATCAACTTTGCCTTCGTCTTCTTCGACCCGTCTTCGTTTCAGATCGTTCCCATGGACAAGAATGCTGGCACCCTCTTAAATCGGTTTACCAAGCTCAAGGAAAAGAAGGCTGGCTTACAGACCTGGGTCAGCGTCGGCGGATGGTCATTTAATGATCGTACGTGCAATTGCTCCTTCTTATTCGCCCCTCTCATCTATTCCCAAGTAGGTTTCATTCCAAAACAACCAAGCTGACTTGATTCTCTCTCATAGCTGGCCCTTATCAAAAAGCCTTTAGTACAATGGCATCGAGCGCTGGGAACAGGAAGATGTTCATCGATGGCCTCATCAAGTTCATGGAGGTGAGAGTGTAGTCTGCCCGAACAACAAGTTGGCGCTAATCTTCTTTATTACCCAGAGCTATGGCTTCGACGGCATGGATCTGGATTGGGAATACCCAACCGCTGGTGAGCTTTCCCAGTCATAAAGGCCCGAGAAACCTCATGAAGCTGATTTCTATGCAACAGATGACCGCGGTGGCACCGCAGATGACACCGCCAACTTCGTGTTGTTGTGCAAAGAGATCAAGGCGGCGTTTGGCACTCGCTTTGGCTACTCCATCACTCTGCCAGCATCCTACTGGTACCTGCAGAACTTTGACCTTGCCGGCATGCAGCCGTTTGTTGATTGGTTCAACATAATGTCTTATGATATTCACGGCGTGTGGGATGCCGCCTCGAAATTCGTTGGTCCTATCGTCGCTCCGCACACTAATCTCACGGAGATCGATTTAGGCTTAGATCTTCTCTGGCGCGCGGGCCTCAAACCCGAGAAAGTTGTTCTCGGTCAAGGGTGTATGTATTTCTGGTTATTGAATACTCATATAAACTGACCTCGATATAGATTACGGCCGCTCGTTCACCTTGAAGGATCCCAATTGCAACAAGCCCAATGGCGTTTGCCAGTTCTCAGGCGGAGCCAAGGAAGGCCCGTGTTCCAAGGCGTCTGGCATTCTCACCTTGCAAGAAATCTTTGATATTATCGAGGAAAAGAATCTGAAGCCTCAGTTCGATGAGAAGGCAGGAGTCAAATGTGATTATATCACCGGTGTATGCGACGAGGTTTGATAACCATTCTGACAGGAACACAGGGATTCATTGGGACAGTGATCAGTGGGTGTCATATGACGACTCCCAGACTCTTATGATGAAGAAGTCATTTGCAAACTCTCGTTGCCTAGGTAAGTAAAACGGGTGGAAGGTGGCCTGCGCTATTGGTGAGATGAACAGAGCTGATTGGATATTATTGTAGGTGGCTCCATGATTTGGGCTCTAGACCAAGTCGACCAATCAAGCAAGAGTCTGCAGTATCCAGAAGACTGGTCGGACGAAGAGATCTCTCTCTCGGAAGACATGATCGCCGACGAAGAAGTCAAGGGTGTCTGCTACACCACCAAGTGCGGCGAGTCTTGCCGAAAAGGTGACCATGAAGCATCGCAGATGAACGGGCAGCCAGGGCTTTCCACCATGGATCGGTGCCCCAAAAACAAGTTTCGCCGACTCTGTTGCAACAAGGGTACCACCATGGGCAAGTGCCGCTGGAGAGGCTACCGAGGACTTGGCCTCGCGTGCACTGGAGGCTGCGCTGATCTAGAAACGGAAATTACACAGAACACCAACCATCACAGCGACAAGGAGGACCAGACCTGCAGCGGAGGCACCCAGAGTTACTGCTGTGCAGGCTTCATGCCACCCATCAGCAAGGAGCAGATGGAAGAGAAGATCAAGGACGAAGCAGCTGACGCTGCAATTGCCGCAGCTGAAGCGTTGGCTCTGGAGGTCGCCGCCAAGGCATTCTGCCGAATCGCAATCACGGCTGCCCTCACCCCCTTGACCTTCATTCCTATCGTCGGTAAGTTTAACAGTCCGCTTCCGTTGCGCCGAATATGGAATATGTTTCTCCGCGGACGTTCCTGCTAACAACTCCGCTCCTCGTCAGGCTGGATCATCCGTCTTGCAATTCAGGCTGCCGTTCCTGCACTTGCCAACCTCTGTGCCAAGGGCATCGTCAAGGGCGGTAAGTCTGTCTTCAAGTTCCGAGGCAAGGACTACGACGTCAAGCTGGATAAGCCACTCACCACCAAAAACGACCGCGGCGACCGAGGCAAGTCAGACAAGGCAGACGAGAAGGACGGCCACTGCGACCTGAAAGACACCAAGCGTCTAGCCAAGCGCGCAGCTCTCCGTCCCAAATCGGAGACGTCGACACGAACCATCCAGATGCGTCAGACAGTCACGAAGACGTGCAACGGCGCGTTATATCCCCAGCCGTGTCTGCACTATCAGTCCGTCATCCAGAACCAGAACGGCATGGCCGCCCTGACCTGCACAACAGCGGCCGGCGGCGGCGGCATCAGGCCCGTCGTTGAAAAGTACAGTAAGGACCATCATACTAAGTGGATCAATGGGTGGATGCAGTCGGCAAACATCAACTGCCAACGCGACGAGTATCCCCCGGCCGCTATCTGGCAAGGACGCGACATGAGACAATGGATCCGTCTCGTGCCCGGAGCACAAAACGGAGGTGCCGGTCAGCTCTTCAGGGGCGTCTGTCCCGCCAAGTACAAAATGTCGCCCGAGCAGAATAAACGCCTCCTCAGGGTCGTCCGCAATTGCAAACGCCTTGTCTCCAAGTATGTGGTGACCCGGACGGCGACGACGAAGGTGATGAAGATGAAATTCATCAATATGCCGAATCTCGCAGACGACGGTATCCCTGACAACCCGTGCTATCCCAAGACCCTCATCGATGACCCGGGATTCGCGCTGATGACCAACGACCCCTGGTACAACGCCCACCCGGCCAGCAAGCGAAACACCCGCTTGTATCGAAATGCACCTGGGGCCAATATCATCGCTGGCAAGACCAACCGCCCGGGCTACAACAAGAGAGACGACGAAGAAGACTTTAACCCGGAACACTTCAATCCCGACGATGTGTGGGTGGACGAAGGTAACTCCACGCGCAAGGCGACCGATGGGGAACTGCTTGACCACCTGGGCTTTTTGCGCTGCGAGAACGGCGACTGCGAGGCGGAGCTTGGCGATCTCGGGGTCAAGTCCCTGCCGTTCATCAATCCTAGCTCTACTGTGCCCATTGAGGTTGTGGCGTATGCTACGCCGGCGGACGCTCTTCCTACATCGCTCGCCAACGTGCTAGAGACGGCATCGTCGATCCATGAGGAGGCTAGGTCACTGATCACGCCAGCACCACAGTTGGAGTACGAGTACGAGATGGAACATGAGGACTGATTTATCTCAGTCGAATTTGGGTGTATATTACACATGTGTATTGGCATGACATATCTATCTGCCTGGCCAGTGCTACCTGAATTGCTGTTTTCTGTTCTAATCACCTGTTTCGTATCATCATCAGTCCGTGTTCAGAGTTTAGTTGAGATTAATAAAGCTCTTGATACGATCACCACTACGCCTAGTGTGCGAGGACTTGCATTGCAATGTGGAGTTGTATTATCGAGTCACTATGATTGAATACAGCTGCCCAAATCACCTCTCGATCTCAAAACCCGCATCTTGGAACCTTCAACCCTCAAGCCGGATACTATCACACGATGTATCACAAGGAGAGCAACCTCTTTCAGGGGTTGACGCAATAACTCTATCTTCATCGAAGACCACAAGGTCCAGCGGTACGGCTTCAATGGTTACTACTCCTTTCATTACGACTGGGATAAGGTGGCTCTCGAGGGAAACCATGTGGCCACATTCATGGTGTATCTCACCGACTCTTCCACTGGCGGGGAAACCAACTTTCCCCGCATCGACAAGCCTGTTGAACAGCGATGGTGTGGCATCGTAGACTGCGAGGAGCAGAGTACGAGGGAACTACCTTCACACTAGTTGCTGGTTCGGCGGTCTACTGGGAGGATATACATGTCAAGGGCAGCTTTCATCGTGGTGTTCGACATGCCTCTCTGCCGGTAAAGTCTCGCGAGAAAATTGGGTTGAATATTTGGTTTTGGGATATAGGCTGGAGGCTCTTTGAGCAATCAGTGAAGCGCGAATTGTATTCTCATATATGACGTACTCCAATGTTTTAGTAACTCCCATGTCTATCATCCATTATCCATGACCAACGTCTAAGAAGCGCCCACGCTTCAATTTGGTGCATAATAAACTGAGGAAATCTGACTGGAGATGTGCGACTTTTACTCGGTAAAGCAGCAATGCATCATCTCATGCAGCTATGCACTGAATTTCACTCTCACCGCATGCTTGTCTTTTGCATAGCTACTAGTAATGGTCAGATGTCACGGTTTACACGAGAGTGGTGGACCGATGCAAAATATTGCGACGACACTTCATTTGCTACAAAACCTATCGCAATCAAACTCTTGATCGTTCCTTTACCTGATATTTGTGTGAAACACAGTTCGAACTTCCAACCCGTAAGAATCCACACAAGTGTTGCTGGTTCAATCCACTCCCTCAGCTGCTCAGCCATGATGACCTCCTTTCGCTGCTGCTTTCTTTGCTCTCGATGCCTTCGAGTTGGCGGATTCGACTGAATGCCACGAGTCGAGGGAGTGCTGGCCGTTTACACCTAAGTCACCTCTGTCCTGGCGCAGGTGATTCAGATCGTGGTTGTAATCATCCTTCTTAGTGTTGACTTCGCCTCTTGATGCCCTTGAGCCGGGGAGCTTTGGTTGGCCCTCCTTCACTTTTTGCGCCTTGCTGTTCCTGGAGCGTTGAGAGTTTAGGGAGTTCTGGCAGTTTCCACCACACTTTTTAGCGTTGAGTCTGTCGAGGTTGTTGATGTATTTGGCGTCGTTCGGTTTCAGTTGATCCCTGTGAAACTTCTTGTCGTCGGCCTTGATCTGAGTTTTCGAGGGCTTATTGGCCCTTGAGGCGATGGAAGGGGCATTATTGAGAGGGACGTCAGTTATCTCCTTGTCGTACTGCTGATTGGACATCCCCGCATCTTGATCATCTAAGTCAAGGGCATCAAGCACGGCCTCGTCCCTAGGTTGAAGGTTGGGCTCATCTGTGACTAGGTAGGACGTCAGAACCAGTTGCACAGGTCTTGAGGCTCTTTCAACTTTACCTTCGTCCCCTGCATTGATATCAATAGCGATGGGGAGTTTGCCATGTCTGAACACTGGCGCCCAGTTGTAAGGGCGTTCGGGGGCAACGTCGGGGGAAACGTCGGGGGAGATGACAATAGGATGTGCAGCTACAGAAGCTGCAAGAGCCTCCAAGAGGACAATGGTAGCGAAGAGCATTATGTAGAACCGGCTTTCACCTAATCGTGAAATGGGAATATAAGGTGACAGAGGGCTAAGATACTTTGCAGACACAGAGAATTAATACCATCATTAGGTGGGTTCAATGCTGCTTAAATCTGTTATACCGAGATCCCTTTCTGTTGAGAAAAGGATAAGCTTCATTTCATGCATGACTCGCTCCCACGCGACCGTGGAAAGCATCGACTTGAAGAATAGTAAACCACCCGGTTAAGATTCCTATTAGCGCGGATATTGAGTTAGGCTAGAGCTTTTGTGTTGTTCCTGGCATAGAGTTACGCTAGAGCAGCGAGGACAAAATGCGGCATTTCTAACGAGCAAAACTTGCCGAAATAGCATGTTCAGAAAGAAAATCAGTTCCCTCGCAAGCTTTCAGCCAGCTGTGGTGGGGTGACTGGTCTCGCCCGCCCAGAGTCCAAACCTTAAGGGATGAGCTGGTATCTGAGAAGACCATAGAAGCCGAGATAGGCATATTACCCCTCTTCATCCCCTCATTCACCAATGATCCTCGTTGACCCAATTCTCCGCAGTCCGCCTCAAAGCAGTCGAAATCACAGAATTCAACGACATCCCTACCCTCACTCCGCACACCGTCAATGCCATCACAGACGGGGCAGGACATCCCACGTAAGATATGACGCGGTCGATAACTTTGTAAGCGGCGGGCTGGTCTGGTATGGCGCCGAACAGGCGATGAGCCGATAGATCGCAACGTGCGGCCTCGAACGATGATTTGGAGCTTGGCTTTCGCTGTAATAGTGGGGTTCATGGATGTGCGGGGGATTTCCGATTTGAACCTCAGGCTTTTATCACCCCGCAAACAAGAAAGGCATATCAAACTAACGCTTGTCTAGAGAGCAGTAAGCGCATCTGGATTTCTTGGTCGGCCGCCGAAAAACGGCCGTCGGAAATCCAGATCAGTACCTAGGCTCGAACTCTTGTTTTAAGCCTTACAAGCCATATGGCCTCAACTGTGAGCTTATGATTCTTGCATGATCCACTACTAAAACCTGAGTTCGCGGGCACATGTGTGGAAATCTCCGAACAACGCTTACTTCCTGAATACTGCAATTTAATTTGTAGGCAGGAAGATGTGGGCCAGCGTGGTGTAGTGACATGTACATGGCAAGGTTTCGAGAGCCCAGATGTCGCTAGTTCACTTCCAACCGCCGGCACAAAGTCTATGCCTCATGAATTTGCAGCCTCTAACGACTCCCGGCTTACGTTGCTCACCATGGTCGCGCGATTTTGGGGCGGCGGATACTCCGGCTGCACCTGAACGAGAGAGTGGCAAGTCAAATGAATGAGATTACTCGGAAAGGAAGCCCGCATGGCGATAAGCCAGCAATTGATCATGGACATATCTAGCGTTCTAATGATCGCTTTCAGTTCAGGAAGCAGCTCTTAAAACGAGCGAGGTGCTCTAAGCTGCGTGTAGCTCCTCGCAGCTGGCTATAATCCGAGTGACGTTCAAACACAGGTGGGGAGACAACTTGCATTATTGACGAAATCTGAAATCGACCAGTTGGCGGCCGCATGTACGAGAACAGAAGCTGCTCCATTTTCTTGAGCGCATAATGTTGACCCTTTCCTGACGAACGAGCCTCAACATTCACTCTTTTCCACCGATGAAATTCCAATCCCAGAGTCCACATCATGCCCCCTGAGCTACCTTGTGTGGGCTATTGATAGTGACAGCGATTAACTCCTCGTCGACAGGGATCGCTCGGCGGTCGCTAGAGGGTGAGTTGGGGGCTTTATTCGTCAGTGTGCTATCTGTATTGACGGATAATGCGTAACCTACGACCGTGGAACTCATTACCAGAGCGGGCCTCAAGATCAGCCAATTTGACCACCTCGGGGGCGGCGAGAACAAGGCTGAGACCGCTCAAAAGAGCAAAGAGGGTGAAGGTCTTGAACTGCATGATTGAAGGTCTTGTAGTTGGAAAAGTGTGCTGGTTGAGCAGTAACTTGCTTGCGATGACATTATGATGAGGAGAAGAGATCTTGGAGGCATGGAGGCTTTTGAAGGTCTTTTATATCAATCGAAATGTACGGGTTCTAGTAGTGTTCAGACTTCGGCATGACCTGTCAGACTTTCACCAAGGTGTTAGTTTCTCAGCTGCCCCCAAGATCCATCAGCTTTCTGGAGTTCCAATGGATGAGATGCGGGGCTTCTGGCACCTCCTTCACCGAGCATCCACTGTAAGGAGATGTCTTCGAGCTGAGAATCGATAATTCTTGTTGGGCCTGAGGTTCGCAGTGCCGCCTCTGTGTTGGGCTATTCCCGGGCGATCGCTCTCAGTGGAGGGACAACAATGAAGACGGTGAAATACGCCACCTTTCCAACAGCCAGTACGACAGCTAGACTGAACCGCGGGCATAAACACGATTGGGAGACTCTGCAACTTGTGGTCGAATTGCAACGCAAACCTCTTGGCACGAAAAAGAGATGCCTGTCCAGACCAGGGCCTTTGTAGCCACTAAAGACGGTGTCGCTGATCACGCTGGATCTTGGCAAACAATTCAGTCAGGTGCATATTGTCTTCGTGGGGGTCTTTTGCAACTCCCTGCCATGATAACGCAGCCTGAATATGAAAAGCAATGCCAGCAAGCGTTGACACATGCATTTAACCAGGAGTCAAAGTCGTATTGCCTCCAGTACGAAAAGGTGATCTTGACATGCACTAATGACCAAACATGCTTGGGGCAGCACAGGGTGATACAACGTAGGCCATTGTGGCTCAAGCCCTCGTCCGGCTCAAGGTCGACTCGACAAGTGTTCGTTTGCCACCTTGTCGGTCTTGAAATGCTAGGATACATGCAATGATAGCAAAGATAAGACAACTCAAAGATGCAGCGAATCTCATGCGGCCTCAATCCCACCGCTCAATATCAGCACTGTATGTCTTCGGGAGGGGTAGAACAAAGAGATTTGCCGTTGCGTCGAGTATTGATGGACGTACACGGCGTTGGAAGAAATTTACAGTCAACAGTGTCATGTCAGAATATGTCCCTCCATGTCGCTGTAAGCGTGAACAGTAGTAAATTTGTTTACTCACCCGACTGCAATGGTCTCATGAAAGTCAACAGAGTTAGCGGGCTTTTGGATTCGCTTGTGGTCGAATTCGGGCAGAGACGACTCATTTTGCCCTGTGTCTGTTGGATTATCTCTTGTGTAGGTACGTAATTGAATATTTGTATTATGGACGACGACGACGACGACGACCATGATGATGAAAACGATAGTCATAACAACGACGACGACAGTAATGTCGACGATATTTATAATCACGATTAAGATACTAGTGAACTAGAGTAAGTATGATAGTCGGTCTCTTCGGAGAACGTGGAAAACTGAGTTTTGCATGGTGTGTCGTGAGAAGACTACATACCCCAGATACCTACGATGCTCATCATGTCCCCCAAAAAGGCAGTAAATTCAGATTCCAGAGCAGCCAGTCCGTTAGAAAGCTGGATACCCGGCTACAGACTTTTAGTTGTTTCCTCCAACAATCGGAGAATCAGGATAATAGTAGCTAAACATATTCAACGCAATCTTCTGCCCTGAATGAACAGGCAATCCAGCATGCACCACGCGATAATCTCCGCTGCCATTCATGTGCATATTATTCCAGAAGATGGCGTTCCCTCTCTTGGGCTTCACCAAAAGGCTCATACCCGTGTCTGTCCTGGAAAACTTCTCACCATCCGCATCCGAGGCCACACCTTTGATGTCCGGAAAATATATCTCGCCTCCAGTGCAGTTGTTCCCTAGGTACGCAAAGATAGTACCCAAGCGGTTGTACGGTCGATTCGGAGTGTGTTCTAGATGTGTCTCTTCCGCGAGTTTGTAAAACCAGTCGTAATGCAGTTTGAATCTCTCACTAACATTATACCTCACGAGCTGGAGCGGCTCGATGTCAATATGTTGGATGTTCCCGAGAAAGCTGCGCATACGGGTGGTGAGACAAGATGCAACAGGGTCAGCATGTGGAATTCGAGCTGAGTTGGATGTTCGATATGATCGATCAACAGTTGGTGAGAGGTTGTCATCGTAGACGAGGGAGTGTTCGAGGTTTTTTGAGCTGTTGATTGAAAGAGGATCAGTATAGCAAGGACTATAGTTTGTAAGATAGAACGGCTTGAATTGCTATTATCTCACTATTCGTGAACCAAATGCTCAATGTCTTGGTCCTTGAGGAAGTTGTTGATGTAGAAAACGACGGGGTCAAGCGATAGAATTTCGATGGAGTAGTTGTGAGAACAGTCGATGGGTGTCCGATCATCAATTGTTTCCATTTGAAATCCAACTGGCAAAGACAACTTTGGAATTGCGAAGGTCATCACCAAAGCCAGGACCGGTAACAAAATCGCGAATACGCCATAGTTTCCCAGTGCACGCGGCACTTTCTGCTGGAGCTTCAAGGAAGGTCAGCTTTATGAATTGACGTCAAAATCTGACATTCCACACGTCAGTATTTGCTTACCAGAACAGACAGGCCTGGTTCAGCTTTTGTCTCCATGTTTTGTTCTTTCAGGGTAGTTGTCGCTCTTAAGTGGAAGAATTGGCATCGACGAATTAATCCTACGAGAAACGACCTTGGGAAGTCTCTGTTGACATGGCCGACTCTGACAATCACCCCAGTGTCGAAAATGGTCTTGCCTCTGGTCTCCCACACGCACACACGTAGTCTCCACTCCCACAACGCCATTCTGAAGGGCCTGCCCGACCCGCGTGCGCGGGCGTAGTCATGAGCGGGCGCTAGAGCAAACATCGGCAAGGGCTAGATGCAGCCGATTGCCAGTATTCATACACGGTGCACACAGGTAATGTCACCAGTATCCAGGCAAGAAAGTGCGTCGCACTGTTGTTTGCTGTTGAACAACAGTGGGTATTCTCCGAATCAGCATGCATAGGTATCCAAAGCGTGGACAAGGATGCTGGGGGCAGCTGACCTTCGTGTACAAAGACGACA